AACATTTCGTTTCCCACGTTTTGCAAAAATGCTGACAAGTTGATTGAAGGCTGGAGGGCCAACGGCTTGTTGTTATTCGTATAATTTACTCCGGCCAAAAAATATATAGCGTCTTACAGTAAATCTATCAATTTTCCACCATTTATAATATGAGAGGAGTAAGATATGCATTATATTAACCAAGATTTCAATAATGAACTATTCGTTCCTGAACGGGAGATATAAAATGTGGTTTTGCTATTATTTTTTATTGCCTTTTGGCATTTGCAGTTTCACGAGAGAGGTGTTTCTACGGGAAAGGGAAGTAATAGTTTATCAGGGGAAAGCCAATTTATTTATCGGGGAAAATGAAATAAGCTAATTCGAGCAAATTTTAAACTTAAGGGTCATAAGCTAAAAAGTTTTACGTTTGTAAATGGATGCGTATTTCAAAGAAGCTCAATAAAACCTGTTGATTTACTTTTATATGCATGTTAACTTACGTTTCTAGAAAAACCTTTTTTAATACTCTTGATTATATCCACCGATCTTCCACAACTGCATTTCCAGCACAGGGTCGTAGTAACCCTGAAGCCAAACTCAGGAAAGAAAAGTAAATTATTTAAATTAAAGACTGTATGAAGCTTGATCCTTTACATTCCCAGTAATACCATGAAGTCCTATTTCAGTATTTTTCATGGCCAGAAATTTAGAACCTCACAGGCACGTACCAAAACACCACAGAGGAGCAGGCTTGGAGTCAATACTCACTCCCCTCATCTCTAGATGGTATGTTCCAAGACTGTTAATCATTCCAGGCGTAACCGAGCAGCGGTGGGCCAATAATAAAAGGTCCGATGACTAGCATGCTTCTCGTTGATGTTCAGTTCAAGGACACCTAGAATTGTGCTCTGGAAAGAAGCCAATAGCCTCATTTCTCCGGATGTTATCAGCTGATATAATATGTGTGTGGTACGCAGGCGCAAATTGAGCTGGGAATTACCTGTGGAAAGTGTGCACTGAGTGGAAAATTGCTTTATTTACCAAGAGCAAGTACTGTGTACACCAAGCCAAGAAGCAAGGAAATGTGCATGTTTGAGAGAGGTTGCATTTCCCTTCTCATTCATAGGAATTGGACTCATTTCTTGCTCTGTTCCCCCCCCCCCCCCATTTGGTTCATACAAATCCTGCCACTGTGATTGTGTTTTTGAGGTCTCTCCCACATGTAATGCACCCACATGGCGGTGTGACGCCTCGGCCCAGAAGAGGGAATCGCTGACAGTCGGAGGGCCTTTCGTGCCTTCCGCACGGTTATTCAGGACCACAGTTTAATAAATATCGTGTCCCGAGAAAAATAACCTTGGTGAAAACTAATACCGGGTTCCTGGTCAAACACACAAATGCAATATCATGCAGTATATGGCATAAGGGTGTCTGAAATAGAATTGCTTAAACTTTTTTTCTTGTGTGAGAAATTTCTCATGGCGAAAAGCAGCAGGGTGTATAAGAAATATCTAAATGACTTTCTGAAAAGAAATATTTCTGTGGAAAGATCTCTGTTAATGATGTGGGACCTGCTGATTTGCAGTGGAATTACTGTGTGACTGGACTGCTATACATACAGAAATAACTGGGCGGACTTCTTTTATAGTGTAATATTGATTGTTGTAGAAGGTGTTCTTACAGATACCTTATGACATTTATTATTTGGGGGCGGGGGGGCTCTGATATCCTGGGATGTTCCTAGCATTGACTGCCGTGTCAAGAATGTTACACAATTCATACTCACCTTACACACTAGTGCATTGCAGAGACGTTTGTGAAATCTATACTATATGTGTTTTAAGAATCCTTCATATTAGTATTTATGGTTGAATCTTTCGGATGGTGAGGGGTATGCTTAGCTGCCAGCGTAAAATAAATGTTTATATGGTAATAAGTCATAAGAACCATCCCACTCTATAAGGAAATGTACTACCGCTGTAAAGAGTAAATGTGTTTGAATGGTTACATTGTTATTTTGAACATTTAAACAAACAAGCAAGAAAGCAAGCAAGCACACAAACAAAATGTGAATTAAACGGTTTTAGCGATACAAAACATTAGGTGACCATGATTCTGTGGAAGGCTGCCAAGCTGTACTGATAAATTCATACCGATCTAATGTTCGCAGATCACGCCAGCATCCACAAAAACCGAGGTACGCTAATTCATCTTTGTCATGACGCAGATTACGGTCTGGCGTCTTAGATAATTATGATTTCGCTGGTAATAATAAAATATAACGTATATTAGCTTCTGTGAGTCACTTTCCCGCGCTCGTTGACATTGGTAGGTAGAAACTGCCAAAACATCAAAATAATAAAATGAAAAATTAATAATAAATAATAGTATTAACTTGCGTCAATGTGTGTGCACTTGTGCTTGGATTTTTAAATCCTGCCATGCGGAGTCAACCAGATCATTTCTTCTACTTCTCCTATCTTATCCTCTCTCACCCATCCCGGCTCTTTAATCCCTGACCCAGGATACATTACTGGGATTGCCTTATGTAATATATGTGTGCCGTAAGATAAAGTCCTGGAAGGCTGGCAGTAAAGGCCCATTTTGACATGAAGAGTCCCTTCAGCGTGGGTTCCTCTGGAATTCAATCTAAATGCAAAACCGGCTATAAATAACCAGCCTTGCTTCTGGCAGAATTAATCAGCAATAAATATGAGTGCTTTTTGGCAGTCTGGCTGGAGGGGACGGCTGCTGAGAGCTAGCATGCCACGGCTAAGGCAAAAACAGCGCACTCTGGTTAAATCGGGTGCTAATGGATATAGGCGTAGCACACGGGGGCTGATGTACAGCATGAGCGCACTATCTAACAGTCGGATTTAGCGCGCCACAGGTAATCTGTTAACGGGCTCTTTGGCTGACACGGAGAACTCGTATACCGCCGCTAGCAAGCTTGCTAATAATGTTTATGTAAAATAGTTAACATTGTTGATCAGCAGGGCTATTTGCAATCAAATATTACCTATTAATGTAGTGTATTGTAGTGATATAGTGAATTTTCAAAAAAAATCTAAAATGTGTTCACCTTGGATAAGAAATTGTGTAAGTAAAGGGGTAATTGGTGATGATTATAAATAATAACAATAACCCTTAATTAATCATGTTTTTCTTACGTGTCTTTGCCTAACGGAAGTACTGATGTACATACAAACCCAACGCAACCGTGCGCCAAGAGTAGCCTGCTACGGGCGACCTGCCGTGGGGGCCAAACCAATAACGTCCCGCAAGGCAGATGCAGCTCCGTATAGTGATTAAGGCTTTCGTGTTTAGGAGATTAATAGATTAACAGCCCATCCCCCCAAAATAAATAAATAAATAATCATTTCTCAAAGTAATTAATAAGGACAGTACCAACCCTGTTTTTTATATAGCCGCGCATAATTTCAGGAAATTTGAAGGCCAAATCATGAAATAGTTGCTGGCTGCTGAGAGCAGCACAGAATATCCTTCAAACTGTGCACATAATGCTGGAGGTTTTGTGTACAGATGGGAATCCGCAAGATTTGCTTAGAAAAAACTCATGTTCTCGTGCGATCGGAGCCCTTCATTTAACGACCGTTTCACAAGTTTTAGGTTCCTTCCAGTTTTCTTTTCCTTACTGAATTCTACGCTATGCTACCTGTATTGCATACATATCTAACATCCTGTATTTTGATAATCCATGTTGCTTGTTTGGGTTAAAATGACAGCTTGCCGTAAGCAAATTCAGATACTACCCCCTTGTGTAAATCTGTCAACTAATTGCATTAGCCTCTGCATGCGTGTGTATTTCACAGTGTAAGTCTTGACCCTGGGGATCGGCTGCGGTAATCTGGGGATATAGAGACTGGCAAGATGTCCTTCAAGATGACAGGTCTTGCACATATACATGCAGAATGGAGAGTGCTGTATTCCGGCTTTACTCTCAGGCGCTGGGGTTCTGAACGGATTCAGGTACCCGACTGCCCCTGGGCTAACTCTAGTACTTGAAGATAAGTTACCACTGCCGCAAGTAGCCTATGTTAGTCGCGTATCTAGAATGCAGAATTTATGATGCGCTCATCAGAATGTAGCCAGTAAAACAGTGATTAGGAAGTGTTTCAAGTTGGATATAAGCTTTTAGAGTATATACATATATGGAAAACTGGTTGGAATATGGATGGATAATTACTTTTGAATGTATGTCAGTAGTGCATCATAAAAATCCATAAATACAAATTGCAGAAATAGGTAACACAGTTGTTCTGATGTTCCGCTACCCTTGCTAAATTCGTTGTGGGCTATGTAAGAAATTAAATTAATAGCCACTGCAGATTCCTCGATTATTTTAAGAAATATCTATTATGTTATATTCCTAATTTTTGTTGTGAAATACTGACATCTAGTGGCAAAAATGATTTTTGCCCATTCAGAGTGCAATAAATATTGCTATACAAAAATAGGCCCTTTGTATAACTTCGACAAGTGAGACCAAGCTAATGGTTCTGAGCTCAATCCATCACCACTATAATCCATGATGCTTGTATTTTTAGAGTTGAGACTAGCAGCTGAATTTTCTGATTTAACAGAATTTTCTATACTGTCGTATACGGAAAACGAGAAAAAAAATCATTAAAGCCATTAGTGTCTTTGACACTAGGTGTCAGTGTTTCCACACCATAGTACCACGTGTCCGAACACAGCCCAAACAAACTATAAATGAGCGTTAAGGGTCGGACGCTGTTCACACACAGCCCTTTTCAGAACCCCCAGCAAGGCAAGGCCCTGAAACCCCCCCCTCCCCGCCCCCACCCCACTTCTGAGGAGGAATGTGACCTTGGGGGCAACCTATCAGCGGGGGTTTCATTGTCGTAAAATATCCTACCGACCTTCATACGAATCTGCGTTGATGGCTCAGAATCCAGCTGGAGGGGAAACGCTTTTATCTATGTATGAGGACACGAACGACATTTCAGGACAATGGAAGAAGAGCGACAGAGGAATTACTGCTTTTACATTTTTTATTTGCTCTCAACAGATTTTTTAATGATAAAATTCCAGATGCCTTTAAGATAAACGAAGTGGTTGTTATTTTGCTCTTAATTAAGATAACAACAAAATAAATAAACACAAAATTAATGCCAGGCACAGAAATATAGGGACTATAGTCAATATTACTGGGATTTTAAGTGATCGCCTTTTGAGGGAATATATTACAACTTTTTTTTTTTACTGCACTGGGCTGCAGATTAATGCTGGCAGTTTACTGTCTGACTCTACACTTATGTTCTTTAATCACCTATCATATTAGACTTTAAGGCACGAGCTACAGATCATAAATTTAACAACACAAAGAAAATATCGTAAAAGCAATACAAAGAATCATTTTAGTTTAACTAAAATGGATGCTTTAGCATATGTGCTTAAGTGCTTAATAAGAGCTAAGTTTTCAACTGAGAATCGTCAGGGGTAGTGTGTTTTAAGCGCCGCGTTTTAGGACAGCTGGGGTAGCTTGGCGGGTTTGCTGTCCAATAACGTGTTATTTAACTTTCTCATGTGATCAGGATGTTACCCCATGAAAATAAGCAGTTCAGACCTTCTCACCACGACTCACGAACAGCTGGTTTGCCTCAAATGATTTTCAGCTTTCCACAAAATGCTCTCTGAAAATTTGTATGTGCGATTTCATTTTTCGCCTCTATTAAGACCATTAATAATGTAAGTGTTCTACAAATAAAAGCCTATTGCATATTATAATAAGCCAGTGAGATGTGTGAAAGAAACATAGGTAGTGAGAACAGGGTAAAATACTCATTCAGAGTAGAAAAGACTACTTATAAAGTTAGTAATTTCTAGCGTGTTTCATCTTTCAGAAAGTGAAACAAATTATATATTATTATTTTGAAAAAGTCCGGAATCCGAACGGTGAGAATGATCAATGTTTTCAGACCAGTTTGAGAGTCACTGAACTGCTTTTTGGAAACAGATCTTCCAACAGTATGGGCTGTAGAACGGTGTCCATTTGGTGCTAGATTCCCAAAGAATCATCTAGAAGGTATTTGTTTCGGCTGCTCATTGGACAATAGTGAGGAAGGGTTGCTAAGTAGTGGGCTGGATGCCGGAAGCGTATTGGCTGGCAGCTTCATAAGATGGTAGTGAGAGGCTACTGGGCTCCTGGGAACTCCTTGAGAACATCGCAGGAGTTCTTCTGGATCACCTCGCGTAGTTTCTTCAGGCGCCGTGCATTGGACGGTCCCACGAAGCTGTGGGGCTGCAAGACGGCCATACCCTGGTGAACGTCGCCCATGATGATCAGCTGCCCTGTGGCACCGCTCACGCTGGGGCACGGGCAGCCGCGGTCCACGTCCAGCAGCGTGACCTCCAGCGGCTCCCGGCCCAGGAATCGCAGCCCCATCTTCTCGTCTTTTAGGATCTCCTCGACTGTGACCAAGACATGGCCCGAATCCTGGTCCGCGGTCGGCTCGGCCATGCGGCCCAGGACCACGAAGTCGCTCTTGCAGAAGCTGGTGGCCATCTTTTGCCGTGGTTTGCACTGTCGGCAGCCCCGGGCCTTCTGGGATAGGCACGCCGCCTCACAGGCCTCCTTGTTGGCGAAGTTGTTCCCGTTGCCGCCACAGCCGCCATACACAAAGGGCTCGCAGCGCCGCTTCTCGGCACGGTACGCCCACCGCGGCTCGTAGGCCTTGCAGGGTCCCTGGAACCAGGGCTGGTGGCAGGACGTGGCCGCGTCTGAGCCACAAGCCCGGGCGCACGCCTCGTAGCTCTCGAAGCGGTTCCCGTTGCCATCGCAGCCTCCATAGGTGAAGGCGAAGCAGTCGGCCTTCTTGGCGTCGTAGTACCAGCTGGGGCTCTCGCCTCCGCAGTCGTCCGTATCGGGGGGCTTCCGGCACTCGTCGACAGGGAAGTGCGAGCTGTTCGTATGCAGCTCCTCCTTCTCCACAGACCCCCTCCTGACCACCGACAAGGGGAAGTGGGCCTGCAGGGAGCCCCCGGGGTTGTGCGCGGCGCAGGTGTAGATGCCGGCATCCTGCGGCTGGGCGTTGTAGATGACCAGCTGGCCGACGTTGGTCACCACCACATTCCCCTGGACGTAGTTCGGCCGCATGATCTCATTCTCCTTCCCCACCCCTGCCTGCTTCTGCCAAGTGAGTTGGGGCACAGGGCGACCGGTGACCTCGCACAGGAAGCTTGCCGTGTCGCCCTCCAGCACCGACTGGTGGGTGGGCTCGGCCGTCAGGCTCGGAGGGATGGCATCTGGGGGCGTGGTCTGCGGTGGCGTGGTCGGCGGCGGGGGCGTGGTCTCGGCTGGTGGCGGGCTGGCGTCCGGCCAGGCGAGGTGGAACCTGCAGGCGACCTCGGTGAGGGAGACGCCGCGAGAGCAGGCCTCGGCGTCCATGTAGCAGCGGTTGTAGTAGGTCATGCCGTCGGACGCGCAGGTGAAGCGCGGCTCCCGCTCGCACCGGTCGCGGCACTTGCACACCAGCTGGCCGTCCCAGACGTCGCACTCCGAGCCCTGCTGGGGGCACATGAAGCGGTCGCATGTTGCCCCTGCTGGCATCCCCAGGGGGCCTTTCCTGCCCTGCGCGTCCAGGTAACGCGCTGCCACGCAGCTCCGGCTGCCGCACACGTTGGAGCAGCACTTCTCGAACGGCTCGCAGTCCTGCGGGCAAAGTACCAAACTCACCTCCCTCCTTTGCCTCTCTACAGCAATATGCAAGAACAGTTTCCTAAAACATTGCAAGAAATATTTCCTAACGTGTTCACTAACGGCCAAAGTTTCTGAAACAAATTTCCATTTTCATTATAACTCATTTTTCATTTTGAAATATTCTCAGTCTAACACAATATAGTTTTACTGGGTAATGTAATACTTTATGTATTAAGGATTAAATGTTATTCATATCACTTAATACAGCAGCGCCCACTTAAATACCATTTATATTAAAGTATTCGGCTGGTGTATGCATTTAGTGCCGTGTAAAAGTATAGCCGAAAACACGGAGACCGAGGGAGGCCGAGGTTTAATTAATAGCGTCTTTTTTGTGAGTGGGTGGTATCTATTAACATAATGATGAATAATTTAATTAAGACTTTCTCGTGCACGATTTCTGGAGTTTAAACTTTTCTATGTTGATTTGTTGAAATGTGGTCATTTTGATTTAATCTTCGCCTCCTCCGAACCGTTAGTAAGGGAATCATTTTAACTTCCCCGCCTAAAATGAACTGGATTGTAAGCAAATACTTTGATTTTTGGCACCCCTTTGTGTGTCCGGCAGACTGATGCCTTTTGCCATTGTTCATTTTCGCTCCTCTAGCCGCCCCCCGAGCGCCGAGAGACCGATGGGAGACGGACTCACCTGATCGGACTCGCACTCTCGCGTACAGGTGCTCATTGCATCCACCCACAGGTTGGGGTTCATCTCGTTGGGACACATGCCCGCATGCGAGTAGGCGACCTTTGGCAGAGCCACGGCCTGCGAGCGGCCGTGCAGGAGCAGCACGAAGCTCTGTCCAACAAAGAACCAGATCCAGCGGGGGAACAGCAGCCACCACATCCCTTCGGCGCTCCGCGGTCGGCGGCCAGACGGGACAAAAGCACGCTTCGATTTCGGCTCGGTCGCCGGGTTGGTTTTATTCTCAAAGGGCGATATCTAACCTATCAAAATAATAATGATGGAGAATAATAGGAGGAGTACTTGTACTCTGCGCGGAGCGCAAGGATCTGTGAAACTCCTCCCGTCCCGTGCATCTCGTTTAATAGTCTAGATTAGGTCGCGGTATTTATGCCCTATTACTTTATCTTCTGCGCTTCAGTCAAAGTTATTCTTTGATTCCTAGAAAGTAAACTTGGAAAAGACATCAGTCCTACAATACACGCCGACTCTTCGGCTGCAGCTGGCGGGACACCTGTGACTTTAGAAATTGCTTGAAAACTCCGTTAAGTCTTCGCAGTTACATGGGGGGGTGCAGATGAAACCGCCGCGGATCGGTTTTTTAATGTGCCTTACAGATTAAATTATGCATTCTGCATTGCACATTTTTTGCATTGATTTTTTTCCTGATTAAACCTGATTGAGTCCACTTAAGAGCTTAATAAAAATGTCGCGCTTTTCCAGACAAAATCGGCTGTTATATGAATTATCTGAAACTGTTCTCAGTTATATTAGAACCACTATCCAGAACCGGATTGTAATCTAATGGTGAACCATAAACAGGTTTATAAAATATACTTCTAGCACACAGTTTTTAATCGGTGTCCCCAACTGTGAAATATTAACTCGAACGTCATGGTAGCGCGAGTAACAGGGACTGTAAAACTAGGTGAGCACTGACGCCGGGCTTAATGGACCTTTGGCTATTCAGAACTTGAGGGAGGGATTGCTGGTGAGTTGTAAACTCGTAAAGTGTTTTAATCGACGTTTTCTCTAGTTGCATTGTTAAGTGCGGCAGTAGGGACTTTGCTTGTTTATGGATCTGGGTTGTTATTGGGTAAGCCAAGTACTTGCATCTGTAAAAATTAAATAAATTTTATTCTGAGGTGAAAGTCCTATTTTTCTCTCACACACCAATATAAATCTCTAAAGAAATATGTATATGTTTAACGTTAATTAATTAGGTTTCATTGAATTATTTTTTTTATTAAATCAAGTATAAAAGACATGGTTATGGCAACCTGCTGATATGAAAGTGGAACTTGTTCAAATGAAATCCCGAAAATAAGATATAATTATTTAAAAACTACAGGCTACAGTATATAACCCACATGCAAAGCACTGGGATACTGGATTTATGTGAGTTAGTTATACAGTATTTATTGTATATCTATATGCAGCCATTATAATGTATACAGTGTCATAACAGAGCATAACTTCAGATCTTGACATTTCAGTAAATTATTGCCTTGCATCATATATAAAGGTCCTCATTTGTACATCTCATAATTTTTAAAATCTTTCTCATATTTCCAAAGGATTGTCAGGACCGCAGTCCTTTACCCTCCCGACTCAAAGGAAAAAAAGCCTTTGGACTTGAAATTTTATGTACATGTATATATGTGTGGAGTCTTACTGAACCAATGATGCCATTTTCGAATCTTTTTGTACTTAAATACACGTCCAGATTCAAAGTCACATATTGATGTAAATCAGGAGGACTCGCTGCTTCCCACCAGACATCACCCAGTCAGAGTCCTGGTTCCTGTACCGTTTAAGCATTTGAGGGGCCCCAGTGCCACTGGGGGGGGGGGGCAGGGACATTGCATTCTCTACCCCGCGGGGCGCAGATGGGGTGAGCGGGTGATGAAGCCATGCAGTGGGTCGTGAAAGCAAGCTGGGCCGGACTGCAGAGGCGTCTGGACCTCTGCCCGCGTCCGGTCACCTGGCCTCCTTTCACAATCGCCTCTCAGGTGCAGGAACAGACCCTTCGCCTCCTTTTCCATAACGTGCTGTTTGAATTGCATTATGGCATTTAGGGTGGACATGATGTGAATGATGAGGAGTAAAGTGTTACGCTACTCTAACCCCAACCATCAGTAATGACAAAGCCACCATAAGAGTGACCCGAGGCTCCAAAATCAGCGATTTCACAACTTGGGGAGAGATCTGCGCACCTTAAACCGACTTTTTACTGGAAAACCACAGACAAGCATCCTGACATGATGTGGCACATCCGAGCCCTGGGAAATGGGTCGAGATTTCTGGCAGTGTTGAAGCGAAGCCAACGTATGAATAGTAGCATGAGCCCCAGCCTCCGTAGAGACGCTTTTGTCCTCTAGATTGACAGCGGGGGCCCACAGGGGCGAGCGCTGCGCCCTCCAACCTATAGGAGTACCCAGGGAGCAGCGCAGTCAAGATCCATGCATGGAAAGGGTAGCCTCACTCATCTACAGCGTTGTCACTATGTGAAAGAATGGAGATAGCAATGCTATGAATGACACTAGCTTATTGGCCCAGACTTTGGATGAAACGCGACAGCCAATGAGGTAGAGCAGGACTCTGCCAGCCTCACAAGGCAGTGGTGACAATCACATGTCAGATTCGCGTCATTTTCTCATTCCTCTGGGCCGTAAAACTATAAGGATTACTTGTAGGAGCAGAAATCACCTGCAAACTAAGTAACGCAGCTTTTTTTTTTTTCTTTTCATTGTCACCAAATCACTGGTTTTTGTGCAGTGTGGCATCTGAGAGTGACTGGGTGAGGTCAGGGGCCTTTATGTGCCATCGGTAATGAGGAATCACCCTGCAGTGGAACTAACCAGATGTGTGAGAGGGAATGACAACTGAGGCATTTATTTGTTCATAAAAACTCAATTACACTGAAAGAATTTACGCACATCATATTCAACCGATGTCTCCTCCTACAGTATAGATGCGTAATTTTCATTGCAAAAATGTCAGTGGATTAAATATACCAAGTTTAGAGAGCCCCGATTTAAAGGCCCCCCCTAGTGGTGTGAAGAGAAACGAAGCGTTTCAGTTTCATTTCAAATAAAAACAGAACTACCAGAGCAGATGTCAGGGTAAACACAAACCCTCGGCACAGGTTATTCGCTTTTTACAAAAAAAAATTATGCAATGCAAAGGCAGGTCTCCACACGTTACATTGGTTATGAATAGACATATTTTTTAAGTAACTGCAAACGTTTAATATTTCTTTAATACTACACGTTGGGGGGTTTTCCTGCACTGAAATACATAATAAAAAATCCAATTATTCATCTGAACGTAAGGGTATAAATAAATGAGGTCTTAAAATCATACTATTAAGGAAAACGCTACAGACCTAAATCTAAAAGGTCCACGATAGCGCAAGACTCCTCTAGTTCTGCATGCGGGAGACATTTTCATCACATAATTTTCGTTCCTGAGTCATGTTTTTAAACTTGATATTAGCCATGAAATCACCGTTAACTGTCTTCATTTTACGGACATCCCAATTTACATTTACAGTAGACCGTCTTCAGCTCCCACGTTATATTCGGGGCAAGCATGAACTTATAAATAATCATAAAAAATTTGTACTTTGTATATGCAATATTTAAAAAGAAGTCATCATAAAGTGCACGTCTACGCCTTATGCGCATGGACCTCCAGTCCAGGACACGGCGTGCTCTCCTCGCGGGCGACCTCCAGCAGCTGAACCCGCTTCGCTGCATCATGGGTAACATCTGCCGTACCGTCGCTGCTGCCGGCTGCCATTTTGTCGCTAAATCCAGATCGGCTTCCTCACTGCCGTAGAAAAAGGGGGTGATTTCAACGGGGCTAAATAGGTGTGCGCTGAGCGTCTATGTGCAGGGCAGCATGCTTTCGGCGGCGCAGTTGCTGGACGAGTTGATGGGCAGGGACCGGAACCTGGCCCCTAATGAGAAGCGCTGCAACGTGCACTGGGACGACGAGACCGTGAGTCCGACTCGGTCCAGACCCAAACGCTGCCGGTTCTGCGCCGGTCACACATCATATTCATTCTTACCTCTTTATTTTAACTTAGTCTCTGTCGGCCTCATTTAAACACATGCTTATAAATGACAGCGTTGTTTTATACAGCCGGCCAGCAAAGGGCAATCGTGACACAAACTTTGTTGTGTTGCCGGATCTGCTTAAACGTCTCACTGTCAGTTCCCCACTTCTGCGGTTACTTTCCTCGTGTTAGAGAATGGCGGAATTACACGCTCATTATGTAATGCCGATTTTTTCTGCCCACCCACAAAAAACAACCACCACCCCCCCCCCCCGTAGGTTTGCAAGTACTACCTGTGTGGATTTTGCCCGGCAGAGTTATTCACAAATACACGATCAGACTTAGGTAAGTAGCTGGACCACGCAATACACCGCACGCGATTTTTATGCTCGAGCTGCTACATTACATTTTCACAGATTTTACTTAAAATTACATTTCGGTTTTTTTTAGGTCCTTGCGACAAGATCCACGATGAAAACCTACGGAAGATGCAAGTGCCAAATCTTAATGTCTAGTGTTCTCTATCCTTCTCTGTTTGACCCTCTTGGGTGTTTGTTAATCCCGACGGGCCCCTGTGCTGCAGGTATGAGAAAAGCTCCCGCTTTATGAAGGAGGGCTATGAGCGAGACTTCCTACGCTACCTTCAGAGTCTGCTGGCAGAGGTGGAGCGGCGCATCCGCCGGGGTCACGCCCGCCTGTCCCTCTCCCAGTCCCAGCCCAGCTCTGGGGTATGCCGCCTTCACAAAAAGGGTTCTTAAGCTGGTCTCGGTGACAGACAGCACCGTACTGTTGAAATCGACTGAAAGCTAAATTGGAACTCATGAAACGAATTCAAGTCAGATTCTTGAAATGTATTTATAACTTCAGTTTTAGTTTTTTGCTTTTCAGTTTTTTTTAGTGATAGTCTCATCACAGGCATCTAGGGGCCCAAGGCAAAAAAAAAAAAAAAAATTCTATGGGCCCCACCAACTCAGCCTTCCTCAGCATGGTACACTTTATTACCATTATTTTAGCATAAAGTCTAAATTAATGATATCAATAAAGTCAATTTAGTAAATGCCATTCACTTTTCAATGCCATTTTTACTTTTGTGGAAAAACAGAATACATCAGTAGACTAATAGAGCAAACTATTTGTTGCGATCTATGCTGTGATTGGTTGCTCTGGCTCACTGCCCCGGGCGATTTCCTGCCTTGTCTGTCCTGTTGCTGCATCTCTGGTCATCAATTGAGTCGGGGACCGTTAGCCTTTGATTGAAATACCTTGTTGTTAATGAGGGGAAAAAGTTATGGTTCTTATTTAATTTAGCACTAAGTTGCAATTTTCCACTCTTCTTACAGAAAGTTGTTGCGTGGTCTGGAATGTACAGTTGATTTGTAGAGCTGTGCAGCCTTAACAAATTTTTTAAAATTGCAGCGTAAGGTTGTAAATCTTTGTCAATGGTTGTTTCTGTTTGCTGTTTTTAGATGCGGCTGTGTCTGTGGCTTAGCTCCAAAAATAAACCTAAGTGTGTAAACAGCGTGATTCAGAGCTAAAGAGCTGTTCTTAATTATGGGTGTATAGCCTGTGTTTTTATAGCTATATTCAGACGCTCCTCTACTTACGAACTTTCAACGTACGAACTATCAGACATACGAACGTAGAGGACTGCTAGTCCAAATTGTGTTCGTTGGGCTCCCGTTTCCTGTCCGCATCATCAGTTTTTCTTTCTGCGCGCCAGTTTCCCCTAGTACGACTTCTGGCTGCTACTCCTACCGCGCAGTAGCGTAGCGTGCGTACTCCCAGCATCCTAGTCATTCGTACTTGCGTATACCCTTAAAATGATGTCGAATAACGATTTACGAACATTTCAAGATGCGAACGGCCGCAAGTAGAGGAGCGTCTGTACATTTTAAAGTAGGATGCAGATAAAATGGAGATGTTTCTGCAGCAGGGACCAGGGTCAGCAGGGAGGAATGAAGAGAAGGCCCAGGTTCTCACAGAGAAGATTGAAGATCTGTTGCTTCAGGTCCAGTATCTGCTGGGCTAAATTGTCCTTCCTGGGGTTTCCACTAGGGGGCGATTCCTTAGCTTATAGCACTAAAGTGAATTGAAGCTGATTAGCATAACTTTTAGTTTATATGTCGTAATTGGCGTTTAACATAATTTGGCGTGTGTTTGTTCGTTTTCACTTATACAATTGAGTATTTATAGTGAATTGGCTCTTTGGGGTCTTTACGTTAACGTCCAGATAATTAGAAGCCTTATCCCCTGTTGCCATGGTGTTCGCTCGTGTTGCTGAGCAGATCGAGGAGCTGGGTAGCGAAGGCAAGGTGGAGGAAGCTCAGGGAATGATGAAGCTGGTGGAGCAGCTGAAGGATGACCGAGAACTACTCAGCTCCGCCCCCTCGGTGAGTCTCTCGTCCCATTGGTTTGTGTGTCTCACATGGTCTGCATACATCTGCCTTGCATAACATGCCAAGTGAAGGGGGATGCAGACCATCATTCTGCTTCCTACACTCCTGTTACTGACCCCATTTTATGCCATCGTGTTCACTGGGAGACCAGTGTTTAATTACCACTGTTCATTGTTAAGTTTTAGTGCACGTTCATGACCAATTTATAATTGTATACTAGTAAGTAGAAATTTGGTGCTTGTTGACAAGGGTAGTGATTTGATAATGAAATCATGGTTTACTTGTCATTTGCAAAAGTACAGACCCTCCCAGAGTTACGATGAGGTTACATTCCGATAATCCTATTGTAAGGCAAGAATGCATTTTAATACATTACACCTAACCTAACAAACATCATAGCCTAGCCTACCTTAAACATGCTTAGAACACTTTACATTACCCTACAGTTGGTCAAACTCATTAGCACAAAGCCTACTTTATAATAAAGTGTGGAATATTTGTAATATTTGAATAAATGTAATTTATTGAATAATGTACTGAAAGTGAAAAACATGCATTGATCGTCAAAACATTATAACATGGGCTCTCATAACCTGGAGGGTGTCTGTACATCGGAGTGGTCTTTGTGGTCTTTGTTGCATATTCCACCTTGCTCTCTTTTGAGAGAGAGAGAGAGACACACACAGACACACACACAGACACACAGACACACACACACACAGACACACACACACATACACACACACAGATACACACACACACACACACACACACACAGATACATACACACACACAGATAGACATACACACACACACAGATAGACATACATACACACACACACACACACACACACACAGTATTGCCTCCAAAGCTTAGGATCTGAGTGCAGAATCAGGCTGTTTATCTGACACTCCTGCACTGTTTTTGAGATGAGGGGCGTTTTAAGGGACTTGCTGAAGTGTCACATGACTATTCTGTTGAGGATGGGATTTGAACTCCCATGCCCTGCCACCCCCCCCCCCCCCCCAAAGGTTTTGACTATGTGCATCTCCCAGCCTTATTAAGCATTTCTCACTTGTTTGTCTGAGATCATCTATATCACAGTTCTGACTGCTTGTTTCCAGACCATCGAGAGCTTTGTGGCTCAGGAGAAGCAGATGGAGGTCTGTGAGGTGTGCGGGGCGTTCCTCATCGTGGGTGATGCCCAGTCCAGAGTAGATGACCACCTGATGGGCAAGCAGCACATGGGTTATGCCAAGATCAAGTCCACTGTGGAGGAGCTCAAGGTATGTGGGGAGGCAGCCTGTAGCCATTGGGTTGTGTGTGTGTGTGTGTGTGTGTGTGTGTGTGTGTGTGTGTGAAATCTTGTTCTTGGTGTCCAGGAAAAACTGCGCCGACGGTCTGAGGGACCAGAGAAGGATGAGCGTGGGGAAAGGGAGAAAGAAAGGGAGAAGAGGAAGAAAGAGGAGGAGGAGAAGGAGAAGGAGCGGGAAAAGGAGCGGGAGAAAGCGAAGGAGCGGGAGAAGGAAAAGGAGCGGGAGAGGGAAAAGGAGCGAGACCGTGAGCGCGAGCGAGACAGAGAAAGAGACCGCGACCGGGACAGAGACCGGGACCGCCGCAGCCGGCACAGCCACTCAAGCAGGACATCGGAGCGGAGGAGGAGCCGATCGCGGGAGCGTGACAGGGAGCGGAAGCGGAGCAGGTACCACACGCTGTACTTCAGCTAAACACTAGTGGGCGCCGGCAGTCAGGGTTAGTCTGAATGGCATTTAGGGGGAATCACTAGCAGAAATTCTCCACCAGTTCCCAGAAGCATACAGAACTCAGTTGCACTGTCCTTTAGGAGCAGAGAGAGACGGCGTAGCCGGGAACGCTCAGACAGGAGGCCTCGCTCTCGCAGCCGAGACCGGAGGCCGAAGCACCGGAGCCGCAGCCGAGATCGGGACAGGGACAAGGATCGGGACAAGGACAAAGACAGGGACAGGAGATCCAGAGACAAAGGTGAACGTCTATGTCACAGTACTAAGTCACTGGTCAGAGTGTCAGCTGAGCGTATACTTCTGTGTGGCCAATCGTAACAATGAGGGGAGTGAACCTTGACTCTGATTGGCTGCTTCCCCCCCCCAAAGAACTCCGAGGCAGCGACGAGAAGCGGGCTGGCAAGAAGCCTCATGCCGAGGAGGGGGGGGGCACGGCGCCGCTGAACGGCACCACCGAAGACAGGCATTCTGAAGGTGACACTCAGTCCAATTAAAACAGATGTGATAGGACCTGAGACCAGGCCCAGGTAGGTGAACCTACCCGCCTCCTCTCTCCCTCTCCTTCCGATTGGCTTGTTTTTTTTTCCCTCCCCCTTCATTTATTGTAGTGCGTGTCTGTTTTCGATGGTGCAGCGTAAGTATACTCTGAAGACTGAAGTAGCTTGATGAGTAACGCAGACCCTGAGCTGGAGGTACTTTGGCCTGTCCGCCGTCCCCTCCCCCCTCATACCGGTGACGCTTGTTCCGCTAGCCAGCATTTGTCACGAACCCCGACCCATGTCACCTTTTTATACAAAAAAAAAATAATCTGAAGTTGTCATTGTGAAATCCTGCTGCATTTCCCAGGTGATCCCGAAGTCTAATTACAGTCTCGGTTTGTTCTTCGCACCCATATCCCCCGACATAAATGTGCTGCTTCACCATCCTGCGCCCTAATGCCGTTTGTCTCGAGAGTGCAGAGCTGTAGCGTAATTAACTTAGTGGTCGACTCCTCTTCTTCACCCAGCGTTGGGTCCACGAACATCCAAATAAAAAATGGATACTGTCGGGCTGTACAGGTACCTTCCGGGGAATCCGTCTACGTCCGTGTTTAATGCTGTCAACTTACTGCATAGATTTTTTTTTTTTGTGTGTGTGTTTTTTTTAATTTAATTTATATTTACTTCTTAGATTTCTGGACATTTCAGAATTTTAACTATATCCCACATTTAAATCTAAATTTGTGTTTGGAAGACCTCTTTGTTAACTTGATTTCCCCTTGGGGATTAATAATTTGTGTGTTAGATTTCTGAAGTTGGTCAAATCAGTGTAGTTTTATTGCTGTGATTCTCAGTGCTGCTCCTGCAGTTGTCGATCCAGTCTGACCTTAATTAGCATCAGGAGTTTCTTAATGGCCTATTAATGAAGGCGATAGCTTGTAAGCTGGGTGGGATTGACCAGCAGTACCCTGGTGGGTGGTTCTCCGGGAGCAGGATTGAGAAACACTGGCTTATTGTGATTCTGATGATGTAGTTTGACAAACTGAGCAGCAGAGGGCAGCATGGCAGCTACAGTTGGAAAACATTCAACATCCAACTTGTGTTATTGTGTAATAATTATAATGTTAAGTTTATGCCTGAAGCTTTCAAATTCACAAGGACCGATAAATGATTGTTGTATTATACTGCCCTGCCAGGCTTAATCTATTTACTGTTGAATTTTAATGGCAGTACTACAGGATATATTATATATTGGGGTTCCAGTGCATGATGTTCTGCTAGAAGCTTTCTGCTGTAGCATTTGTACAGTTTTCAGCATTAGCATGCAGTGTATAATTAGCCCTCAGCTTCATTATGCTGACTGTGTGGGGAAAATTGCATTTTGAATCGAAGTCCAGAATACTGCAGAATGGTGTGCAGGACAAGGCATGTTAGGGCAGGGTTTTGGACTGCGTGTCTGTGTGTGCGCCTTGCACGTGCACGGCGTCCCCGTTGCACTAACCCACCCCTCTCTGACCCTCTCTGCACATCAGGGGCAGGCCGCAGCAGTGCATCCAAAGAGCCGTCTGTCTCGACTGCGCAAGCCCGTCACGTAAAGCGAGGTGAACAATGGCCGAGAGTAACAAAACAAACAAAAAAATCTGTAAAAACATCTGTTTGCCAGAGTCCATATGTTCACTTGTTATGTTTTCCCTCAAAAAAAATGGTTTGTTTTCCTCCATAATTACGGCTTCAGACACCAGCTGGAACTACACAACGTTTTGATACTCAGCTATTTTCTTTTTTTAGCCATGCTTAGTAACTGAAACCTGTACCTGTGGCGTGTTTGATTTCTGTCCCTGGTTCTGCTCTTTGAACTTTGAAGTACCTGTTTTTATACACCTGTCTGAGCTGGGTAATTTCACATATGATGCCCACCCACTTTAAAACTTGGTTTATTTTACCTTTCATGTATGGTATGCTCGAATAGCAGGATCATTTTGTATTGAAGTGAAATTGGTTGTTTTTGCTTCTCAGATTTTTAGGACTTGTATATTTGTGTCGATTTAATAAAACAAACGATGTTTCTTTCCCCTTGTTCTGTCATTCTTTCGGAATCTCATGCCATCAGCTTTTGTAAATAGTATGACTCAGGCTGAACCAAGGTGATTGTTCACGCCGCGACTCAACTTCCTCCAGTAAAAAGTAACTAGCTACAGACATTTGATTAAGGCACTTCTACGACAGATTATGTATTTACATTCTTGGTCTCAATCATTATTGTGACAGTAAAGATCAGCTGAGCTGCTACAGTAAAACAGTAAGTAAACCTGCCTGACTGTTGTTTGTTACTATCTGCTCTATCCAGTCTCTTCCCTAGTACACTGTTACTATGTATCACTATTAAACCAGAAAGAGTTGTTTATCATTCCCGCGCTTTATCTCGTGATTGTGGTTCTTTGATGCCGATTGTGGAAACCTGCTTTGGTGTGATGATGCTGACATAGTGCTTTGTGGCTTGCATGTGTATGTGTTTGTTTTTAGTTCTGCTTTGTGGTTAAGATCCATCTTATTTAAATGCCATAGGAAGACAAAAAAGGCTGGTCTACGTGTGCGCCTCCAGTCCATCATTCATTGCCCCTCTGTTTTGTTCGTGTTTCGCTGCCGCTGCTGACGATGAGGTAACCGTGGAAACCGGAGCGAGCTTCATCTCGCGGAGGTCGCTCGCCGGCGCGTGCCGTGGTGCTCGCATCCTGGGTTGCAGCGCGTTACCCCGCTGATTTATGCTTTATATCGTTAACTAGTTACGAAAAATCTCCGGCGACATAAAATAAGCGCAGCACGGCGTGACAAAGCTCGGCGTTCGCGACGTTTTTTCGTTACATTTTTTACGCGGGCTACTTTTCCGACGCGTGTGAGTAACCGCGCCACGTTTCAAAAGTTACCTGAGGTGAACCTGACCCTTGCGAAATTATTCTAAATTCCTAAAATCTGACTGAAAGCGCTAAGTAGTACTTTTGGCGATGTTTCGGGTAGGGGGAGTCGTATCTCATAGATAAATCTGTGAGTAATAGGTATTGCTGAAACACTGAATCACCGACAGCTGGAGACTCAGCGCTTTTGATGCCAACGAAGCGGACTCAAGTCGTCGGCTGTATAAGTGGGATGATGCAACTGGCGCGACGCTATCGCGCTGTCCGGAAAATGTGCTGTTTATGTAAACTCTGTTAGTATAGATGGCGTTAGTTGCCTAAGTATGCCCATCGCTGGGTACGGAGCAGCGTGTTTGTGATTCATAAAGTTTTTTTTTTTTACCTTTATGCGTTACCGTGCTGTTAAACATGATTTCCAGAGAACACAATTATCAGATGTCCAAGTCAACTCTGAATATACCCGTGGGATTACTTATCCAATCGCCAAAAAAGCGCCTTGTGAAGTTAGGAAGAAATGCAAGCAATGGATCCGTACAGTAAGTTTTGTAGCTCTGTTTAAGTTAAACATGCAGTTTCTCTTAGTGTGAACTGTAGTCTACGGGATGGATAATTCACGTGCCGTAACTTTCAGACATCTGCAGCGTGAGCTTTGATGTACTTTCAAGTACTTATAAGTCGTCTAAAGGGGTATGTTAGAGAGACCGCTCAACGTGTTCAAAATAACACTGGATTTTTGTTTGGAATCGACAGAATGGCGTATATTCAATACAGTTCTTCTCCCAATGTTCGCTTTTATATTAAGTCGATTAAGTCTGTGTGGGTTTCAGACTCATTCAGTGCTGTGTGTCATTTCAGCCTATTCCTCTGGTTACCATGGCAAAATGGTGTGAATTAATAGTTAATCTTATGATCACGTGTGCAATAATATACATCTTATGTGAATTGGCGTCTCTGAACTATCCTTGCACGCCATGGGATGGGGTGATATCTTTTGTCTCATGCTCTGAACGTGATGGGATAGACTCTGTTAAATATAATTTTGAAAAACATATTTAAGCAGTCGACATATTTAGAAGCCTTCAAATTTATTGTTTTATTGTCATTGCTACTGTTGCAGCTGTACTTGTGTAGTTCTATATATTGAAGCATTGTAATCACTGAATCATTTTTCTTCCACATAGATCAGACAGTTCTCGCCCCCCTTCCTCCACCCCTTCCACAACATGCACACACTTGTGGATTATTCGTCTGCTCGAGCCGTGCGATCAGTGTCGCGTTTCACATTTTCTGCCTCAGTCATGCCTTAGTGATGCCTTCTGAGGTCTTCACGGTGCTCAGGTGACCTGCCGTACTTGTAGGTCCATGCGAATCCACATTATAATGGCAGAGGTGTCACGTTCTGGTTCCAGCTACCGTCAGCAATATTTGCGTCACCACCCATGCAGGAAAAAAATGCGACGTCCGCCGCACGGCGAACAGCGCTCCATGTTTTTTTTTTTTTTTTAATTTCTTTAATGGCCTTAACTCGCATGGGGAGCAAATGTACCTGGATAGCCAGGGAGTGATTAGTAGGCTCGCCTCTGCTGAGGTATACAGCCATCTTCAGTCTGAGCATCTCCAGACCGGCACGTTCATCGCTTGCCCCGTTATACATCTGCAGGTCCAAGCTGTCCAGTGCCACCACCAGGTCGGCTGAGAGTGCACTGCATAGGGAGTCCAGCAAGAACAAGGCCCCCTGGCACAGCCGCGGGCTCGCGGCCATCTTCAGCAGAGGAGCGCACCTGGACGGGGCTGGTGGCGACAGTGCCGTGCTGTCAGACAGCCTGAGCGAGATGTCCAGTCCGGATTCCAGCCCCAGCATCCTAAAGATCTTCGGCAGTGCCGTTTCCCAGGGGGCCCACTACAAAAGTGTGCTGGCCACCATACACTCCACCGCCAAGGAGATCATTCAGGAGGCCTTGGAAAGGTAAGACCTCACATGTCACAGCTGGCATGGACCTTGTTAGGTCTGATCACTAGTCCCGAGTATTTTAAGCCCCAATGCCAATCGTCCTTCAAAAAAATGGCAAGCATCAGGTAAACTTCACTGATATTTTCACTATCTTGGTGTAAGGCAAGTAAGTGATTGGGTCACGAATCAGGGAAGTGAAAAGATGCATCTCAGGAGAATGTGATGTGCAATGAAGGTTTGATAGAGAATTATTATATATATATATATTTATTTTTACACCTTTGGGGTGTCCCACAAAGCTAGATTTCTTGCTTAGCTGGATAACCTGTCAGATTTAAGGTAGTCTGAGCCAAATGTAAGTGAACAAAGATATAGACCATTTAGCCCAGACTACCTTAAATCCAAAAACTTAAATCCAAAAGTTAAATCGTGCTTTGTAGAACACCCTCTGTCATATTATGGTTATGTCACTGGTTTGTGATCAGGAAACCTGGAAAACCTGCAATTACACTCATGACCAACAGTGCATCATGATATAACTGAAAATGAAGATAATTTGGGCAAATTCCCGAACGTTTTTCTTGTAGAAGACTTCAGGCTTATGTTCGTCCTTACATGTGCTGTTAAAAGCTCCTGTTTCAGGACAGGAGATGTTCCAAAAGCATTGCAGATTGATTAGAAAAAGGTGACCAGCTGGGTGGTGTTGGCTCAGGTACGATCTGGAGGAGGATGCCGACGCGTACGTGCTGTGTGAGCTGGTCGGCTGTGACGGCGAGGACCTCCAGTGGCGGAGCGAGTGTTCGCGGGTCGTAGGGGCTCAGGAGAGACCCCTGCTGCTGCAGGCGATGTGGAGGCCCGCAGAGGGCTTTTCCCGCCGCTTTGAGATCCAGAGACGAGCCACTGTGGAGCAGAGCGTCCACATGGGCAAACAGGCTGCCACCTTAGGTATGTACATCTGTAGGGCTGAGGGTGGCGCTGTAGAGCTTGGGGGTAGCACAAAGACAAAGCAATTGGTGACTTTAAAACGCTTTACAGCTTGTAAAGGTTCTCTGAATTTTATTATGCGGGTAAAACCCCTAGTGCTAACAGTGAAGGCTAAATTAGCACAATTAGTCAGTTATTCAGTTCTTATAGCTGCTAAAGTGCTTGGCTGGACTGACAACCGGTGCATACACCAGGGCTGTAAGAGCTAAGCTGGGCTTTCTCTCCAGGCCGGTGGGGTGCCCCCATTAGATGTGGGTGTCCGGCAGTGGGTGCCACATCTACTGGCCAAAAGTGCACTTTCAGAATGTTCCATAGTGGCTACTTGTTTAGCATGGACTGGAAGCTCCTCTGCTTCCACCTCCCCGTTCCCTCGGTCAGTGGTGCAGGTTTCAGTAAAGGAAACGAGGGCTCCTGTGTGCACGTGAGTTTCTGTGTGCCTCTTCGGTATCGGTCATTGTACTCGAGTCCCGTGGTTATTGACGCAATCTAATCTCCAAGAAGTTTTGCTTTATTATGTTTCCTCATGTTTTTCTCGTTCTTTCCATCCCGACCTCTCTTAACCCTCAACCCCGCCAGGCTCAGGAAGGCTGCCAAAGACCGGCCCACGTGTAACCTCCATGCTGATGGAACTCGGGGGCAGGAGCCCCGAATTGTGGAGGAGCCTCAGTGAGCTGGAGTTGCCCCCGACATCGCAGGACCCCCCCCACGCCTACGAAGCACGGGGCCTGTCTGGGGAGAGAGAAGAGACTGAGAGCAGCGGGCATTCTGGCACCCAGCTTTTCAGCAGCCAGCAAGCTTCCTGCAAACTTCCCCAAACACCCTGTTTCTTGTTGCTGCAGGGATACAGCCCCAGACAGGTGGGACACACTCTATCCTGACTGCATGCTCAAACCCCGACCTGCAACCCATAGTTTGGGTGATGCCCTCACAGTCTGAGCTTGCAGTGCAGAGAGTTACCTGTACAGGGGTACGTTTTCCAAAAGCTGCCATTAGCAACGTACAACTGAATGGTTCCAACTGTCTAAGCTGCTAATGGTGTTAGCATGTTGTTTCTAACATGCTAGCAATTTGCTAAGTTGCTAACGCTGTTAGCAACTATGCTTTTGGGAGATGTACCTCAGATTGGTAAGCCATGTGAAGGTTTAGCCTGCAGTGCTCATACTGGGTTTAATGCTTATCTTATTTAATCTATTGAGGTGCCAATTTTCCCAGGACCTGTTTTTCTGGATTTCCTTATTACTGAGCAAACAAGGACAGGGCACAAAACACTTCCTTGTGTTACTAGCTGGTGATAAACCAGGCTGTCAGATGGGGTTTTTACATCCAGCCTTGGAGTGCATGCATGGAGTGTCATGATGTCACCATGAAAGGAATGGTGTTGGCTTGTTGCCCTTTTGGTTGGAATCCTTCTTTAACTTGAACTAGAACTTTAAAGAGGATTTATGTTGGTCTCTTTAATTCATATTATCCATATTTACACTTTTTATCAGACCGGCCTTTTCCTGGAATGTTGATAAGTACAGTGTCGGCGTTTTCTTCCAAATTCGTGTAGGTCCTTCCGTCAGGGAGTCTTGTTTACATAGTGACACGCCTCCTCTGCTGGCTTCTGGAACAAACAGACATGTGGAGTGAAGCACAGTTTTAACTTCCCCTTTTCGTAACAAACAACCTTCCTCGTGTGTGAGTTTTTAACTGTAAGCGCTAAGTAGTACTTTGGCGATGTTTCGGGTAGGGGGAGTTGTAGCTCATAGTCGTATCTCATAGTGCCGTGTTCTCCTTGCCTTTTGCTTTTGGCTGTGATCTGGTAAGAGCTATTGAGCACCCAGATTTCTCCGTTTGTTGTTCGAATCTCCCGTATTTACACAGCCATTCTGCTGGCCTGTGTCATGCTCCTCTTCTGCGGAACATATTCAGTGAAGAATCAGTCAGGTAATGCATTTGCTTGTTCCTGGAGGCCAGAAGGAGACTCACACTTAACATTGAGTTTACTTTATAAATCCCTGCAGGGAATTTTTGCTTAGCGGTTAAGACCCAAACACTACAGTCTCCTCAGAATGAATGTCACCCTGTATTGATGCATTAAAATGAGTATTTCTCATAGCACAAGGGTATAGCTACTACCCTATGCTCGTGGGACCTATTTTCTCCACTCAACCAGTAAAGTGGTTGATATACCAACATAGGGATTCTGCAGAAGATCCAGAGGCGGGTTAGAGCGCTTTCAACAATAGCTTCAGGGTCAGATGATGCCTGAGCTCTGCATCTTTCAGAATGACCTCATGCTGACCCTGTGTGCAACCTTCCCCTGATCTGACGTTGACGGTCTGGCCGCTCGATTGGCCTCCAGTCAGCAGGACCCACTTTAAAAGAGCTGTGGTTTGTTCAGAAATGGGTGACAAATCTTATTAGGACTTCCTAACATAAAGTCTTTGCGCAATTTGTTTCTGCTTTGCAGGTTTTAGAATAATAACAAGCCACTTCTAATCATTAAGGGGATAAAACATACTTTTTTTTGATGCCTGGGACAAATTTGGTGATAAGCTTATGGTTCTTATGGTTATTCCTAGTTATTTTGGCCTGATGTGCAGTTCAGAGATGAGTCACAGGGCTGCCATTCTGTAACCCGTCTGTCTCTCTGCTGTGCCAGGACTGCGTCATCTACCTGCTAGACGGGACGACCACAGCCTTCGGCCGCAGCGAGGGGGAGGAGGTGTTCGGTGCCCACCTCCAGCTGCACGCCCCCGACATCCTGCCCCTGCACTGCCGTGTGCTCCGCCAGGAGGCCCAGCCTGATGGCCAAAGGGCGGCGCTGCTGTTGGAGCCGCTCCACGGCGCCCCCGTCTCCCTCAATGGCACCACCCTGACGCAGCAGGTCCAGCTCTGTCCCTGGGATCTCGTAGGCTTGGGGAATCACTACATGTTCCTGTATAAGGACCCTACTGCTGGCCCCGCCCACAAAAGCCCCCCTTGGCTTACCTCTGGACACCAGAGGGCTGCAGTCTGCCCCACTTGTGGCTGCAGCCTCCCCCGCCCCAGCTGGGGGTTCTCACTAAGGCTGAAAGATCCAACGTGCCGAGATCTCTCCCTATCCTACGAGCTGGAGCACAAGGACCGGATCCTCGAGGAAATCTTCGCTGTGCTGGATCCCCGCGGCGATGACCCCAAGCTGACCCCAGCCTTCCTGCTATGCCTCTACATCCAGCACTCGGCCGTGAACTTCCGGGCTTCCGAATTCCGCCGACTGCTGCTCCACATCGCTGGCCACGTTCAGACCGCCGTGGGGGCAAGTGTCTACCTGACTGCAGCGGATGTTTACTTTCTCACACCTCCTGCATTACCTAAGCTAATAAATAATTAATCTTTGTTCCCGTAGCTTAGTGATAAATGGAACGATGTTCTGCCTGTTGCTATGCTACAGTTCTCCTCTTGTCTGAATATCTTTTCTCCCTCAACAGGACGTGACGCAGGAGCTCGCCTCGGTCCAGCCTGAAACGTGAGAACGCTGACCTGTTATACTCGTTCGGCACGTTTCCCAGTTATATACCCACCCCCAGCCTGTGCCACCTCGCCCCAGCCGTCCTGGCCTGGGTGACGTTCAGAGGCTTTGGTTTGTGACCCGAACGTGCCGCCCGGAAAGCTGGGCAGCCAATGCTGGGCATCACAGCGCCCTCTGATGATTAGCGTTTTGAAAAAGGGCTGCTTGTTCTTATCAGTTATTTCCTCCTTGGGGGGCCATTATTCTCAAAGGGATGGGAAACGTTGCTTCCACAGGGGATTCGTTTTAGGGAAATCGGAGCCAGTTATTCGAGCTGCCGTTGGTCACGGTCCCTTACATTTTCTTTACCTTCTGCTGCATCACATACGGTTGATGTTATCTACTGACCGCTTATAATAACGCTCGTCTGAAATGACCCCTATAGCTGGTTTTAGCCGTTTACCCAGAATGCCGTGGGCTTGTGGGTGTGACTCTGGATTCCCTCCCCCATAGGCCCTCTGGTGGGGGACAGGGTGACTTGGGGGAGTCACAGTCCGTGCCGATACCTGACATCCGCCCGCTGGTGCTGTGGATGGCCAACAGCCTGGAACTGCTCCACTTCATTCAGCAGGAGGTTCCGCGTCTGCTCCCCTGGGCTGAGGAGGAGGAGGAGGAGGAGGACGCTGAGCAGGATGATTCAGGTGATGCTTACTGCTGAATCGCCCTCTCGTCATCCCCCTAAACGGATCTGTATTTCTGATCAGGGCACGCTCCAGAAGTCTCATGGAGACCGAGCAGTGTCCTTTGTTTGGGCCTCTGAGTGTCTTTCAGGCTTTCAGAAAGTTAAAACATCTGTTTAAGGAAGGAAATTTTATGGGTTATTAGTCCATAATGTTGGTGAGGAATGAGTTAGTGCAAGGCGTGTTCTGCATCTTAGGTAGTAATGCACGGGTGTAGACTGTTCATGGAATCAAACTTGTATTCATGAATGTGTTGCACTTTACACATTAGTTCAAATTTTCTCCCTATTATTGATGATGTTCTTTAATCGAATCTCCCGATAATGGCTGTACTGCCTTCTGCTACTGTTTACTTTTTTAAATGAAAAAGCCCAGATACATATGATGAATAAGTCGCAAAACATTTTTCCACATTGTTGTAGGAAAACGTAGCTCCTACGTATAAGTAGTGCTAACAACGCAAAGATTGTGGGTTCAAGTCCCAGAGAGCACACATAGCTTGTAACCCTTCCCTCTGCTGTAAGTCTCCATGGATAAAAGCGTCAGACAGATGCGTGTAAATGAAAACGGCTGGTAAACTCCAGCTGTCGTTTCTCCAGGAAGCCCAGGGTCGCCCTGGCAGCAGGCCATCACAGTCCTGGACGAGGTGGTGATGTTTACATTCCAGCAGTCTGTGTACCACCTCACCAAGGTGAGTCCTCCCCAGCCTACCCTGTAAGACCGGGACAGCAGCAGGGACACTGTCTTACACGGCAGATAGTTACAGGTCTGTCATGTTGCTGTCAATAGCGGAAATGTTTTGCACGTGATACTGGAAGATTAGCCTAGCAGCACCTAGTTGACTCCTTGATGGCTATATACTTGTAATGTATTACCTGTGTCACTTATATGCCTGTTAAATAAATAAAAAAAACTAATAAATAAATAAATGTAGCAGAAATATGAATTGTAACTGCGCCAGGCTGCGTCTGTGAGGGCGTGTATAGCTGCTGTCATATTATACTTATGAATAGAATTTCAGAAATTCACATCTGCTTTGTGCTCAGAATTACACCCAGAGCCCTGGAATCACACAGCAATCATTTGGTATGTGGTTACAGAGAATGGATATTTGCCTTCAGCCAACAAATTCATTTGGAATTTGCTTTCGGCGATGCAACCAAATGTTTGGCCGCATTCAGACGTAAAGCAGTGTGGTCTGGATTTGTAGCTTCTGGACCTGAAATGCCCAACACTGTCGCAAAGTCCATAGTTAGGTATGTGATCATGCATTTTTGGTGGGGGTCACCAACTCTGGTCTGCTTTCATTTTGGGTCCCTGACATAGACTGTCTAATCTTTATTAAAGATGACTGGAAATACACCACATAGCAAGAAAAACACGTCATTAAACCATTTAAAACCGTATATGTATATATTTATATTTACTGGTCAGGGGTGAGCAGTGTTTTATGAAGAGAAATAGCTTATTACCTGTAGAAACTCCTTTCCTCATTCTCACTGGTTCACTAACCTCTAAGGCCCGTTTCTTAGGTTTCTTAATTAGAATGAATTAAAGCGAAATGCCGCTTTTTATAATTCTTAATTATCGTTGAATGCTTATTAGCATAAGGTCTTTCAGGTCTTTGAATAATTAACAGCCACCTATTTGAGGACAAACCATTGTTCTCTGTCCCGTCTCATGCCCTCACTTGCATATTTTTGTCCTGTCGTTTGAATGTTGGCAAGCCAGTGTATTCTTGTTGTGTTCGCTGGCCATTTCACCTGCCTTTCAGGCCCAGTGCAGACAAACGTAGCGTATCATTTTGACAAAACAAAGAAGAAACACGTAGGCAAACAAAACAGGTGTTGAGCATTGGGAAGGGCTGTTGTGGACGGTGTGTGAGTTTCAGGTTGTGAGGGGAAAACTGACAGTCACTGGATGTCAATGGCATTACGGCACAGGTGAAGTGAATCGGTGCTTTCATCACCTAACCCAGCTCTGCCCCATGATATCCAAACCCCCGCTGTCATACATCAACTGCCATGATCTCATTTGGAAGGCAGTGGAATGAAATGATGGGGATGGCTTACAGACCAGGTTTCCAGTGTCCCCTGTTCAGGGGGCTTCTGAGCTGGGTATGTCACAAAGATTGTGCACGTTAAGTGTGTTTATATTACATTGTGGGGGCCACATGTTCCCCACAATGTAATAAAAACCTGCTGTTTTGTGGGGACCATTTTTCAGGTCTCCAAAAAGATCTGTGAATGCAATAAAAATAAAAATGCCAAAAGTCTCGTATTTTGTTTGGTTACTTATGGTTAGGGTTAGGGCTGGGTAGGGGTTAAGGTTGTCATGTTGGGATTAAAGTTTTGCCTGTAGAAATTAATGGAGTCCCCGCAAAGATATAATTACAAACCTGTGTGTGTGTGTCTATGCTGTGTGTGTGTGTGTCTGTGCTGTGTGTGTGTGTCTGTGCTGTGTGTGAGCTTCACATGGGAACACCTTAGTCATCTCAGTTTTCATATCTCAAGGCAGTCAGATCAAACCAGTGAAATTAAACGAAAGGCCTCTTAGTCTTTCCAAGTCCCCTTGGGCTAAATGAAGGTTTGATCCAGTTTCTCACAAAGCATTTGGTGTCTGTGTTAAAGCTTGTTAGTTGGTTGGTTAGTTAGTGATCCTTCTTTTAATGGGCAGCATCGCGGTCAGGACCAGCACATGGCACCGAGTTTTATCTCCAGAGGATTCAGCCAGGTCACATGACGGCAGCCACCCCCCCCCCCCCGCTTTCAGACGCCTTGGCTCTGGTAGCCTCCATATGCTTAGACGCCTTCTGCCCTCGCCCTCCCCCCCCAGAGCCTGTATAGCACCTTGTCTGGCCTGCTGGACAGCAGCCCCTTCACCGAACGCGGTCAGCTGCAGACGCCCAAGGCCGTCCTGGACACGGTGGCGGTGTTCAGAGACGCCATGCGGCTGTTCAGCTCCTGCGGCGTGCACCGGGACGTCGTCACCCAGCTCTTCGCTTACCTCTTCTTCTTCACCAATGCCTCCGTCTTCAATACACTCATGGAGAGGGGTAAGTGCTGATGCAGTGGGCGGGGCCAGGGTGGGGGTGGGGTGGGGGGGCACAGTCTCTGATTGCGATGGCTGGATTCTGTGTTAAGGAGCCACAGGAGGGTTCTACCAGTGGTCCAGGGGTGTCCAAATCCGGGCCAACCTAGACCTGCTGATGGACTGGATCCAGGGCGCGGGGCTGGCCGACGTGGCGGACGGATTCTTCCAGAAGCTCTCGTCGGCAGTGAACCTGCTGGCCACACCCAGGGAGACGCTGCTGCAGGTATGCGGAGAGGTGTCAGTGACGGAGACCGGCCAGAAGTGTGGTCTGTGGCCCCCCGAACATTCAGTGACACTACATTAATAACATTCGCAGCGACCACAAGGACAGAATAATGTGGAATTTCAGGTTGCTTGATGCATGTCAAGATGACAGAAAATAAGTAAGATTATAACACAGGACCCACCCATTGTTGACAGCATGCTTACAGTCTTAAACTAATAATATTAAATTAGGTGACCTAAACCTTGCCTGTCTCTGTCAGTCAGGAAAAGGGGTTATATGCTTTCTTAGTTTAGGAAGGTTATAAAATATTGCTTTAAGTAGCTACCAGGCTGCATTGAATATGTGGCCCGGCTTGCTGTAATCGGGAGTGTTTTTTCAGCGCGGGGAAGCGGTTGGGGATTTGGCCTCGTGGGCCCCATTGGTTTGATGTGGAGCAGGTTGTTTGGTCGTGTGTAATGGAGTGTGGCTTTCCTGCCGGCCAAGCCATGATGTCACGGAGAGGCTAGGAGTTCCCGGGGGAGTTTACAATCCTGTGGTGTGTCTGGTGACAACTGACGCACTCGTCCTGTCACCGTGAAAAGCACGGTACATAGACTTCCTCAGTCTCACTAGGGGCACGGCAGGTTTTACCTGTGACTAAAACTTCCCTTCAGTGGATTATTACGCAAATTGCATTCACCTTCACGCTAAAACAGGCATGAAATCCATGGACTCTGCACTCTTCCTAATCCGTTAATTAAAATTCATCACAGTTTTTACTTGTGGTACAGCCTGGGCAAAATTTCCTTCTCCTGTTCTTCACGGAATATGTAGTGATGAAGCAAATAATTCTGCTTAAAATGTAATGATGCCAGTATAACTAACAAAAAAAAACAGATACACTGGATTGAACGTGCATCAGAAAACATTTAACTTTTAGAGACACTCTGATCCTCAGTTTTGTTCCTTAAGGGCTGAAACTTAACTCTAAGCCCATAGGTGACGTATTCCCAGTTCGGACTTGTCGACTCTGCTCCCAGGGACCGGTGCGGAATGCTGTGAAACACAGCCCGCGTGTTGCTAAGCGGAGAGACTTGCGTTGCCGTGGCGCTGCACTTTGCGGTCAGCAAAGCACTGCCCTTAGAATACTCGCTCTCGCGGTTGTGCCCTTTTTTTCAAATTATTTTCGGCTTCTCCGCCGCGGACACACCCAGGGCCGATGGAACGGTGCCAGGACGCTTTCCTGTTTTCTCCCTTTCCGCTCCGTGACGCGTCTCAGCTCTCAAGTATTTGTTGATGTGCAAGTCAAGCAACTTCAGCTGCATCCCAACCCTCTTCCTCCTTTTTGTTAATATCTGGGGGTCCCCATATAGCTGGTGAAGGAAAGGCGATTCCTCAGTGCTTAACAGCCGAGCCCCATGCAGATTCTTACGTGGGCGGCCCAGGGAGGGGAATCTGTCATGAGGGCATTACATCAAAGGTAACGTGACAGGGCAGTGCCACCTATAATATCCTGTCCTTAAGTTACATTCTAAAGCAGCTTACGCAGATTTATTTGGTTAAACAGTGGAAACAGATGGTCTGCATAAACTTAGTCCTAACCAGGACGGATATGGCCCAGCAAATGCCGACCCGCAATGACCCACGGAACTCGTTCCAAATGTTCACTTGTATAAAATGTAAAAAACGTCGCTGGTTAAAGACAGGGTTTAAAAATAGGGTTTTATGGAAAAGAGGACGTTAGAGGAGGGGAAGTGTCTCTGTGTGTCTGTAACAGGGGTAACGTCTATGTGTGTGTGTGTGTGACAGGGGTAACCCCTGTGTGTGTGTGACAGGGCTGATGTCTGTGTGTGTGTGTATGTGTGTGTGATAGGGCTGATGTCTG